ATCCATCCATCCATCCATCCATCCATGATCCATTAGGGGTACTGGTGCCGATCTCCAGCTGTCTATGGGTGAGAGGCAGGGAGAGGCAGGGTTCACCCTGGACAGGCCCCCAGTCTATTGCAGGGCATGGGGTAAGTAGTTGAAACAAAATCAAAATGCTAATTTAACATTTAACAAAGGGGAAATAGATGGGGAATATCTTGCCTCTTAGAATCTGATCTAACATCTATGATGTTTCCATACCATTTTATTTTTTTTATATATAAAAGGATCCAACTGGGCAGCTTCTCTCTGTGTTTTTCCCTGTTTTGTGGCAGCTTTCATCCCTTGTTATCAATATGTATATAAATAGTGAGATAGTTTTAGCAAAGTAAGGCATAGAAAGTAAAGGTACTAGTGTTCAAATATGGTAAAAAAATACTCAAGTAAAGTGCAGATACCGAAAAAAGGAACGGAAGTAAAGTAACTTCACTCCTCTGGTTTACTTTGAAATTTTTGCTTTTTTTTATTTCTTTTTTTTATTAAAAAATGATATAAACTTAAAAGAACATAAATATTCATTGTGGATTTGCTCCAGTGGGTGGCGGAACAATGAAACACGAGCTGCTTCAAACCACAGAAGAAGAAAGCAGGCTTTACAATCGCGTGACGTCACCTACGACCCTCACATCTTTGTCAGTGAACAAAATGGCAACCTACTGTCTGACTGTGTCCCGGCTCCAGGTAAGAGGCTTTAGAGCACCGCTTAGACCTTCCAGCCGGCAGCGGACCGGCTCGGGGGGTTTCTCTGAGCGGCTGGATCCGCTGGAAGGTGTTAGTTAGCCCGCTGGAGGTCAGAGAAGCGACGCTGAGAGCGGAGAAGCCGCTCAGGTCATCGTGTCCGAATCCACTCTGAGCGCATTTAGCAGGAGAAGTCTGCTCCAATCTGACCCTGTAAACCACCTCTGGTGGCTTTTTATGACAAGATGTTGTCGAAGGCACGCGCAGGCTTCAAACCGCTATGCTAGGTTTGGTTCTGGCGCTGGAGTCTGGCTGCGATTAGCAAGGTTATCAACAAGGTTAGAGCTGCCTGGGCTCCTCTAAACACTGATTCATGTTAGAAATGAGGCAGAAAACACCCAGAGCATGCTGCTGTTAATCTGACAGACATACAGGGTAAAAACAAAGTATGTGTAGGTTTCTGTAGGTTTAAATGTAGTAAAACTATAAACGTAAAAATGAATAAATTCAAGATTTCAATTTCTTCCTTGTCACCTCATACATCATTTGTGAGAACATTAGTATAGATATGGATACAAGATTTTAAAGTGAGAATTTTGTAAAAACACAATTAGGCGTCACAGATTTTTGAATAAGCATGAATCACAAATTTATGACTATCAATCACAAATGTCAAAGTATAAATCTATAACTCCTGATAAAGAGTTATACTTAAACAACTTTTGTTGTTTCGTTTTCAACAATTCATTCAGTACAGCTTTCCAGACGGTAAATGAACATTTCCGTTCCATAAAGTGCAGCAGGGATCAAACGTTAACCTGCTGTTACCCTCCTCACCAGCAGGTGGTGCAATGACCATGAAAGTTAATAGAAAACCGCCTTAAAGCAAGAAGGAGAAAATGATTAAAACTGAACCACAGATTGAAGTTATGGCCGTTTCTCAATTCACAAGAACGCGAGTACGGACTTATGTCCTCGCCAAGTATGTTCTTGAGAAGAACACAGAAAAGTCTGGACTCGGGGAGAACGGGAGCATAAATATTGGTCAATTGGAACAGAAGCGTACTGATGACATCACCATATTTCACCTCCTGTTACTATTGGTTGTTAAATAATGATATATTCTTACTTTTTTCATTTAGTAGGGGGGATAATAATGAACACAGTCAGATAAACACAAATCAAATGAACATTTTGCCAAATAAAACAAAAAACTCTCCATCAGAGCCAGCAGTCCTTCACACACTGCTATGCAGAGAGAGGCCGCTACAGACAGGCTTGGCTCTGCTGTTACCCTCAGAGGTCCGCTGGTTGCCGCTGTCCTGTCAACTTCGGATTTTTTTTTTATTATTACAAGCTAAATTGGTAAATGGGCCATATAGTGTTCTCTCCTCAAATTATCTTAAAATCTACTTTTATTGAGCAACAGAAAAGAGAACCTTTAACTAAATACTAGGAGCTCTGTGAGCAATAACCTGGAAGCTGCTGCCGCAGTGCATGCTGGGACAGCTGTCAATCTCAAGAACGGACAAGTCTGCCCTGATGCATGCTGGGTAAAGAGAGAGGGGCGAGAACAACATCCGGGAACTTTGTCCGTTCTCGGCCTGCTGTTCTTGTTAATTGGAACAGTACAAGGGCTGAGGCTGGTGATGTTTCACGAGGACACGAGAACATGATAATGCACAATTACACATATTGAGAAACGGCATATGTGTTTAAAAAAACAAGTTTCAGCAAAACTAAAATCTATTGTATGTTTTCGCCATCATGGCTTCTAAACTTGTGTTATCAGATAAAACATTTGATGTCATTAGAGCTGAAACTATTAACTGGAATAATCGTTTTATCAAAATAATTGTCAGCTAAATGGTAAAAATGAAAATATAGGGCGTGCAGGTGGAGCAGTGGTTAGTGAGCATGACCCATGTATGGAGGCCTTAAGGCCAATGTATGCTTCTGACGCATGGCCTCTGCATCCATCAAATCTGTCTATGCGCGACCACGCCCCCCCATGCAGAGGTTCTTCAACCGTCGTCTCTCACCTCAAAAAATTCCTGACTACGAGTCGGACAGTCGCAAATCTGTGCAGACCTCAAGTGGAAGTGAGCAGACAAAAAGCAGCTGTGATTGGTCCTTGGTATGCCTTTCCGGCTGTCTGTGCGGTCGTCCTTCTCCATTCAGTGCCGGGGTTTTTAAAAACCGAGGAACAACTACAATGGACAACTACAACAAAAGGTTAATTGAGGAGGTTCGGAAGTACAATCCGTCGAAGTTCTCACGAGTTCTCGAATAGGCTCGCTCTTGTGCTTTGGAGGAAAACTGCTGCACGTCCCTAGAAATTCCAGACCGACGTTGCAGAAGCAAACCAGCAAAACCGGTTCGTGACCAGACCCAAGCAACATTTGATGTTTGCGGTTGCAGAAGTTTAATCCGCCCTTTATTCCTCGATGCGGCCGACCTGGGTTCGAATCCGAAGTATGTTCCTTTGCTGCATGTCTCTCCCCCTCTCTCATACCCCCTTTGTTTTCAGCCTACTGCCATAAAAACAAAACCCTAATGCCATAAAAACAAAACAAAACCCAAAAATATATACGGTAAATATTTAAACATATTTATATTTATTGCATTTAAGATAAAAAAAAAAAATAATACTTATCTACTGTCAATCTGCTCTATACAGAACTTCTCAAGTGCAAAGTTTTAGTTGCCAAATTCTTAAAATTATCAACGGATTAATCAATGAGCAAATTAATAATTAGTTACGGCCTTAGGTGTCAAATACATTTATGAACTGAAAACCAGGAACAAATATCTTTCATTTATTCCCATTTATTGACTCTCATTTACAAATTCAGATGCCTGCGAGGTTATTGACTGTTACCTTACCCCATACATAAGAAGCAACAATCAGCTGTATGTAAACAAATCAGAGTAAGTTTGTAAAGGTATTTAACTATTTAACATCAGCAGTGTGATATAAAAAAGTGATTTTCATACACTGATAATTTACAAACACAGATTTTTGACCCAGATAATTAGATCAGCAGTGATGAGATTGGAATCCAGATTTGTTATGTTATAAACATGTTTTGCTTTAAACAATCAGTAGAAATGCTGCTGAATGAACAAACTGCGCTCAACCCAATAACCTATTTTGCTGATGGATTAATCTGTCAATTATGTTTTACGAGTAATAATTGGTTAGCAAAAGGCTCCTTAAAGTGGATTTTTTTATAGAATTAAACCAGGTGAAACTTATTATTTTCCACTTTAGGAGTTCTGGATAGAGCAGATTGAAAGAGGAAAGTTGTTTTAATTTAAAATGCTAAATATTGTATTAGGGCTGAAACCATTCATTACATTTTTCGACAATGAAATGATCGGCAACTGATTTAGTAATCGAGTAATCTTTAAGTGGAGTGAAAAAAACTTTTTCAATCAGTTCTATCCAGAACTCCATGAGTTGGAAGAGTTTTAGTTTCACCTGGTTTAATTTCGTAAAAATATATTCATTAAGGAACCTTCTGTTATCCAATTAATATTAAATTTATTAATCAATTTGCAGAATAATTGTCAGTTGCAGCCCTATATTTTTTTTTTTTTTTAATTTTCATATAATTCCTGCTCTAAGTGAGTTGCTCTGTCAGCTAAAGGCATGTTTTAGTCTCTATATTCCACTTAATGATTAATCGATTAATAAATTAGTTATTGCAGTAATCGATAAATGACGTTTAATCCGATTAATTGTTTCTGACCTGCTATAGACTCTTGTTTAGAGGGAGATTGGGTCACCAGAACTAACCAAGCAATAAAATCAGGCTTTCTTTAAACCTCAGCAGTGAGACAGGTTATATCCTTCTTCTCCATAGAGAAGGGAAGAAGCAGAAATCCATGCAGTCTAAGTTCTATTTTTATAGTTATTGTTTTTTTTTTGTTTTTTTTTTTAAATTAATCAGTGTTTGAGTGTTTTAAATAGGGCTGAAACAATAAATGGGTTAATCGATTATTGTAATAAATTCCAACTGATTTAGTAATTGATTAATCATTAACTGGAGTATAGAGGCTGTAAAACATGCCTTTAGCTGCCAGAACGACCCACTTAGAGCAGGAATTATACCAAAACTGTAAAAAAAAACAAAAAAAAATGTTTTGCATTTAAGATATATTAAAAAAAAATCCTCTGTCCATATGCTCCATCCAGAACTCCTCAAGTGGAAAAGTTTGAGTTTTACCTGTTTTGATTCTGTTAAAAATCTTCTTTAAGGAACCTTTGGCTCTCTGATTATGAGAATTGCTAAATAATTGTTAGTTGCAGCCCTAGTTTTAATATATCTGGTAAATTCCTGCCTCTATGCATGAAATTACATCAGGAAGTCCCTTTTTTAATTATCAATTTCCAGACTGCCGTGTCATCTGTGTATAAAAAGTTTATGCTGAGAAAAACCTAAATCTTACTTTCCTGGCATTTTGTTTAGATGACAGGTGAGGATAAATTTGGCATTTCATGGAACGCTGTCCTACAGGACAACATGTAAAGGCTTGGTTTAGTTTTTCTGAAGTGATTAATGTTAGAATTAGAATGTTAATTAGAAGACAAGAACTGGTTAAATTAGTTTACTATAAGAATATGTTATTATGTGAAAAAATATCTTAAGTATCAATAAATTTAGATAAAAATTCAGATTATATAGAAAGATTTCAATCTCCATTGCTCATTTTATTTCCCACTAATGAGGAGAGATTATGTTCTGTCTTGTGTGTGTCCAGTTGGCCCTGGGTCATGGTGCCCGGCGCCTGCATGTATCTGCCGCTTACCGAGCCAAGGCCAAGGTGGCCATGAGCCGCTTTGAGCCCACCTCCTTCATCAACTACGAGAAGCTCCAGAGCAACGTAGAAATAGTCCAGAAAAGGTCAGTGCCCTCTTTAATCTGGCTTCTATTTGCTCACGTCTGGGTTTCCTCCAGCAGACGTAGCTCTCTGAAAGGTTTTTTTTTTTTTTAGTGACCTTTAGCACAGTTATCATCTCTCCAGCTAGAATCTCCTCCCGTCAGTAAAACAAAGTAACAAAGTTCTCTCTGTCTGCAGGCTCAACCGTCCTCTCACTCTGTCAGAGAAGATCGTTTACGGCCACCTGGATGACCCCCACCACCAGGAGATCGACCGCGGCCGCACCTACCTGCGGCTGCGTCCGGACCGCGTGGCCATGCAGGACGCCACGGCTCAGATGGCCATGCTGCAGTTCATCAGCAGCGGCCTGCCAAAGGTGGCTGTGCCGTCCACCATCCACTGCGATCACCTGATCGAGGCCCAGATCGGGGGGGTGAAGGATTTGGCCAGGGCAAAGGTGAGGCGGCTTTATAGATGTCTGGTATTAGAAATGTTACCTGCTGTGTGTCCATTTCATTCTAAATAAATCATCCCTGGGCTGAGGCATGGTGGTGGTAGCCTCATGATGTGGGGACAGAGACTGATGTAGAAAAGTTGGACTAGATGTAGAAAGCTTCACCTTCTAGCGTAACGACAGCATTAATCAGGCATTCAATGATGCCTGTGGCTGTTCTGTTGGTTGAGCAGATCAGAGCTTACCAAAGGTGGGCGTCAGGGCGGCGTTATAGACCCGGTATTAATGGGTTTCTCTCTGTCTCATATGCCAAGACCAAAGCAGGCGAAATATTAAATATATTTGCTCAAATAATTATTTTTCTTTTATGCAGATATCATGCAAAGATATTATGGATTTTTATTCTTTGTGCCGTATAAATCAGAGAAATTCCTCCAACAAGAAACTCGCTGATCATTTCTGATGCTGATTTTCATTGTGATTTAGAAAAATAGTTAAAAATCAAAACTTTTAGGAACAAATTATTCTAATATTTGAATAAAAGTTGTTCCAATATTTGATTAAAAACTTGAGTTAAGAGTTAAATCTATAAAGCTATGTTCATTTCAGCTGGAAGTGTTAATTTTCGTAAAGTTTTTATGAGAATATGGATCTTTCAGATGGATTTAATAAGGATTTTTGATCATGTTCGATATTTAATTGTGACATGAGGTGAGGGGAGCTGGACTTGGTCTGGTCTTAGTCTCCATACACTCTGGTCTTGGTCTGGTGATTGTGACTAACACTGGGTCAGCGGGGTTACTGCCTTCTTAAGGCCTTGCATGTTTTCCTTTATCCATATTAAAAGTTAAACCAGATCTTTTCATTCTCATAGGAAGTAAACGAAGAGGTCTACAACTTCCTGTCCAGTGCTGGAGCCAAATATGGAGTGGGTTTTTGGAAACCTGGCTCTGGAATCATCCATCAGGTAGGTTAGAACAGCTTCTGGTCTAAATATGGCAGACGCGGCTCTATGTTAATACAAACACTCCCGTCTTTTCTTCTTTGCAGATCATCCTGGAGAATTATGCCTACCCAGGAGTGATGCTTATTGGCACAGATTCTCACACACCAAACGGCGGTGGGCTCGGTGCCATCTGCATTGGAGTGGGCGGAGCCGACGCAGTCGACGTCATGGCTGGAATTCCCTGGGAGCTCAAATGTCCAAAGGTTAGCAGTTCATTTTAAAGGATGTGCATTTCTGTTCCCTCTTTTCTTCCTTTAGACGCTTCTTGTTTAGATTTTTGACACCAGTCGCTGTTTTTAATCCTCAAAGGTGATTGGCGTGCGACTAACCGGCACCCTGTCTGGCTGGACGTCTCCGAAAGACGTCATCTTGAAGGTGGCGGGCATCCTGACGGTGAAAGGAGGCACCGGGGCCATCGTTGAGTATCACGGGCCAGGAGTTGACTCCATTTCCTGCACTGGTTAGCATTAGATAAAGAGTTACAGTCGCTCAGAAACACTTCGACCAAATTGTTTGTTTAATTAATTGCGGCGTTTTTTAGGAATGGCCACCATTTGCAACATGGGTGCAGAAATTGGAGCAACAACGTCCGTGTTTCCTTATAATCACCGCATGAGGACCTACCTGGAGAAGACTGGCCGTGGAGGTGCGATCACAGGAATATATTCATATCCACCAGAGGTGTCAAAAGTATTCATGTTTATAACTCCAGTAGAAGTTTAAATCAAACCGTTTAAAAACACTTTTGTAGAAGTTAGAGGATCAAATCAAGCTTTTTATTCAAGCAAAACTGTAAAATTACTTTTTTTTTTTTTTTTAAACAAAGTATAAAAATAAAAGTAATGCAAATGTTAAAAATGTTAAGGACAGAAGATTTACTGCTCTACCCTTTTTAAAGGAAAATTTTTCGTAAATTCCTGATGATAACTTCCGTAGACTTAATTTTCTTAGTTTTATAACTAATGGTAACAGTGTCACATTTAACTATGCATCATCTTGGAAAACTATTTATTTGGTATGTGGTGAACAACAAGTGGGGGGCAGCACCGAGTCCAGCCACAAGGAAATTAATTGTCTGGATGAAACTAATTATTTTGATGGTTTTTATTTTTATTAAATACCAACAGGCCATAATGAAAATGAGCTTAAATAAAACAAAACTAACAAGTCTATTTTTAAAAATTTAAGGAGTAGAAGTAAATAGTAGTCTAAAATAGAATTACTTCAGTAAAGTATTGATAGCCCATATTTCTATTTAATATGGTAACAAAGTATTTGTACTTTTTTACACCTCTGATATCCACACAGAACAAGTCAGCATAAAGGTAGACATATTTAAACACTTTTTTCCTTTTGTGTTTTCCTTCAGAGATTGCTGCGGTGGCGGATGAATACAAGGACTTGTTGGTACCAGATGAAGGCTGCGAGTACGACCAGATCATTGAGCTAAATTTAAGTGAGGTTGGTCTTTTTCTTTTTTTCTTGCACTGAAAAAAAAGACAACCATTTTGGCAAATACTTAATCATATTAAGTTACTTTAACACAATTGTTTCATGTTAGCAGGTTAGGACATAAAACAATTGTGTTAAAGTTACTAATTATGATTAAGTAAATGCCAAAAGCAGTTGCATTATTTTTTCAGTGTGCAGCCTGAATTCATTTACAGCCATATAAGTAGATGCTGGTTGTGTTTATGCTTCTATGGAGTTAACTTTGTTCCATTTTTGTTGCAAGAAAGATGTTTTATAAGGGGATGCAATCTAGAAACAAAACATGAAAAACTATATCAGAAAAAGAGTAACGTTGCTGTTTTTTTAAAAATAATTATTTTTAGTTTTTATATTTTTAAATTTTTGCAAATTGCCCTTTTTCAGATTAAGGTTAAAAACCGAATTCTTTCCAAGTTGCTTTTTCTGGATCCCATTCTCTTCACGTCTGCTAAATGTTAGTGCCAACGTTTTTATTGATCAAGAATGAGCGTTTGCAATAGGCTGGAACTGGAAAGAACGAGATCTGTGAAATCAATTTTAAAAGACAGGAATTGGAAAAATTTTATCTGAACAAGACCAATAAAAAAAGAATAATTAAATCTGTAAAACAAATTAGAAAAATTAAGGTTAGGAAAATAAAATTTGATAATGAAATATATTTTTTGAAAAATTGAGAAATTAAGGTTAAATCTAAAAAAACAGCAAGGTTATTCTCAAAAATCTTTTTTTCTGTTGAGAGATATTTGAGTTTTGTTTCTGGATTGCATTTCTTTCCTTTTACAAAAATTGTTGCTAAAGTAATGGAACAAAAAAGGGATCTCTGACAAAAGTTTAACCTTGAAGGTTTTTTTCACGTCTCTGGGGAAGTTTCTGCTGTAAAGTGATAATCATGATTAGGAGTGTGTGGGACAAAATCGAGTTGCCCATAAATCGTGATTTTCAGCTGCCCGATATTACATCAATCTTCTAAGTTCTTAATATTGATTATAAATAAGGGAAATTGTGTCATGTTTGCACCTCCACTCTGACAGATGGCGCTGTGGAGCTGTGCAGCGCAGCACCATTTCTGTAGTTGAGGCTGTCACAGTGCAAGATGTGGACTGACTTAAACCCCAACAAACAAGGATACCAAAATAACCAAATAATCCATATCTTCTGATGAACATTTACAGCACTTGATTTTTTATCTACATGTTTAATGTTAATAGTTGGGGAAAATATCGCAATATATAATGATATTGCAATATCATGATAATATCAATTCAGTTCCAATTCATCTTATTTCTATAGCGCCAATTCACAACACATGCATCTCAAGGCACTTTACAGTTCACCAGATCATCCAGTCAGATTGATTCAAAGTTTTCTATCTAAGGAAAACCAGCTAATTGCATCGACTCATTGACCCGAATGCAATCCCTCACAAAGCATGCTTGTAGCGACAGTGGAGAGGAAAAACTCCCTTTAACAGGAAGAGACCTCCAGCAGATCCAGGCTCAGTGTGAGCGGCCATCTGCTGAGGCCGACTGGGGTTCAAGAAGACAGAAGCAGACATAGAAAAAGAAGCATAGATACAAAAGGAACCTAATATCTATTCTGACCCAAGTATCGTGACACATATCGGGTCGCACCACCCATGCTAATACTCCTCCTAATCATGATTAGAATATATTTGTAGATGCTTTATTGTGGATGACTCATAAAAAAATGAATAATCTGAAGCAGTTCAGCTCATCCAGTTAGATGTGTTAGAAGTCTGGCACTGTGGACGCAGTGAAACACTAACGACTCTTACTGGTTCA